TCTATTGTGTGAAATTCAGTCTTCTGAACTTTCATTATTGAAATAAAATTCCCATAAACATTGTCTTAGATAAACTTTGAATGGCATCTCTAACTTCTCAGTAGTAAATCAATGGATGCAGTCACAAAGAAAATAAAAGGAACTATTTTCTTTAAAAAAATGAGTAACAAATTTGTATCTCTGGTGACATGAAAAGTGTACAGCCTATTTTTCATATTAAGTTTACATTCTAATCTGTAATTTTTGGCAATATTTTCACATATTTTTCTTTCTGTGTGTGTGTGTGTGTGTGTGTGTGTGTGTAAATAAAATAAAGGCATCAATTATTTTTGCTATGCTCTGTGAGATTAGCAGGGTCTCACTTGCTCCATTCCTACTGTATTCACTTCTTCTGATATTTAGACCTACTTTTGAAAACTAGTACTTCCTATTCATATGCTTCTTCCTTTTTCAAGAACTATTTTTCAACTTTATGTTTTGTTTGCAATCATCTTCACAGACATTATTTCACGGATCAACCTTAAATTTCAGTTCATCTGATTTCTTCATTTTTGAATTATTTTGACTGCTTTTTTGTTGAACTATTGAGTAATGAATTTGTTTGTATTGTAGAAAGGGTATGTGGGCAATTCCATGTTTTGTAAGAGTCATTTCTAAAATTCTCCAAAAGTCAAGCATTTATTGAATATCAAATGCAGGTATGATGCTGTTTCAGGGCTGAGTAACAAAAAAAAAATCATTTTTTTAACTAAAAAAATATTACTTGATCGATAAACTAAAGAAATTGCCATTTATTTTAGTAGATCAGATCTAAACATATGCAATGACAACAATTATTATGTGCCTAAATCACTGTCCAAGATAATAATTGTCCCAGGGTTTCAAGGCAATCACTTTGAGAGGTGGTAGGAATACTGTCCTCTCTATTGTCAGATGAATCCGAATGATTCATTCAGGTTTCTCTTTCTCTTTTGTAAACTGCACATCTTCCAGAGTCCTGGAAAACATCTAAGAGGAGAGAGGAACCAAGCTTAGGGCCACCATTTAATTAGGAGGCACTGAAAGTATCTTCTCAAAGAAAAACTATTTGCAGAGCTGGAAAATACACCAGGGGGAGCCATCTAGGCAATCTTATTCCTGTTCTTCCTGACATTTCAACCTCTCTTATTAGCTATTTATTTGTAAGTAAAGACATACCCGAATCCATGACAGCACCAATTGTTTTGGGACTTTTCGATAAAAGCCATTCTCACTAGGTTAGGTGATATTTCATTGTGGTTTTGATTTGCATTTCTCTGATGATTAGTTATGTTGAGCATTTTTTCATGTTTATTGGCCATTAGTCTATCTTCTTTTGAAAAGCTTCTGTTCGTGTGAGAAAGGAGCACTTATACACTGTTGGTGGGACTGCAAACTAGTACAACCTCTATGGAAAGTAGTATGGAGATTTCTCAAAGAACTAAGAGTTGACCTACCATTTGATCCAGCAATCCCACTACTGGGTATTTACCCAAAGGGCAAAAAGTCATTTTATCAAAAAGATACTTGCACTAGAATGTTTATTGCAGCACAATTCACAATTGCAAAGATGTGGAATCAACCCAAGTGCCCAATAGTGCATAAGTGGATTAATAAAATGTAGTATATGTATACCATGGAGTACTACTCGGCTAAAAAAAATGAATTAATATCTTTTGTAACAATCTGGGTGGAACTAGAGACCATTCTTCTAAGTGAAGTATTACAAGAATGGAAAAACAAACATAACATGTACTCACTATTAAATTGGAACTAACCTATCAGCACTCATGTGCACAGATGGAAGTAAAACTCAACAAAAATCAAGCAGGTGGGACTGGGGAGGAAGGGATGGGTGAAATCATACCTAATGGGTACAATGTACACTATCTGGGTGATGGGCCTGCTTATAACTTTGACTCAAGCAGTATAAAAGCAATCCATATAACCAAAACATTTGTACCCCTGTAATATTCTGAAATAAAAAAGAAAAAGAAAAGACACATACCCACATCATGGTATTTCTTAATTTGTGACTAATATGTATAATGCTAACCACACAGACTGATGTTCAAAATGTCTCTATGATCAGCTTATTGCTGGGTGAGTGGAATAATTTTTCCAAGCTACGTGAGCCAGTTTTTGAAAGCAAAGAGACACAAGCATTAGAATTTGGGTGAATTTTCTATTGTACTATAATCCAGAATATGGAATAATCAGATAAAAACATGGGATAAAATGATCCTTGCTAATAATGAAGGAAATTTAACTTCAGTTTTTTTGGAGGGGAGGCAGTTAGGTTGACAATGCTTCAAAAAATAAGTCATTGTAAATATGAGTGCTATAAAACAGGAATTTTGTGAACTAAAATAAAATTTTAAGGCTCACCCTCCACCGGCTGACTAAATGGACCCCCTCGTGGCCAAAGGAATATCCTAAAACTAAATTGCCTGCCAGGAGCAAGGTCAGACATGCCTTATCATGCTCCCCTCCCTTCTTGGAGACATGATTTATAACCCATTAACAGGCCTAAGGCTATGCAAGACAAACCTGCAGGTCCTCAATTTACACAATAAATCTATGTCCAGTGGCTTATCTCTGATAAACAGCTCCTTATGTTGAAA